TAGCTTAGGAATTTCCAAGATGAAACTTGCTTCTCTGGGCCTGGGGCCCTAATGGGCTTTAATGGTTTTTAATTACTCAACTATCTGTTGTGACATAATTAAAATGTCTCCCCACATTTCACCCCCAAGAAATAAATAACTTCTAGGTAGTAAAATATGACTTGCAGCTTCATTTCTGAAACAGTGAAGGAAAGATTTCTCTCAGGCTCAGTCACATCCTGTTTTTCCTGTCAATATAAAGTGCTTCTCAGCTGTGTCCCTAAATTGCCTTCCCCGCTTTTCACTCCTATTTCACATGTGTGTTTAAAGAGCTTCTGACAGGATTAAAATATATCTTTACCTATTTTACTAAAAAACCCCGAGAGCCTTGCAAAAATAACTGTAAAAAGCCATTACATCTTGCTACAGGATTAGGTTGTGGTTTTGTTGTTTGTTTTTTTTTTTTTTTTTTTTTTTTTTTTTTTTTTTTTTTTTTTTTTTTTTTTTTTTTTTTTTTTTTTTTTTTTTTTTTTTTTTTTTTTTTTTTTTTTTTTTTTTTTTTTTTTTTGTCCCACACTTCATTCTTTTCATCTTGGGAAAATGTGTACAATGAAAATAGATTAGATGCAATTTAATCAACAAATTCGAGGTGTTCTGGGTAATGGACTTACAACAGGTTGGGAACAGAGCTGTAAAACCAGAGCAGTGCTGCAGCATAGCATTCAAGGCTTAGAATAAGCTAATATAATTAAAATTAAATCAGATACTGAGCTTATAATTACTTCCCAGGCATTTTCTAGCAGAAGATAGTCTGGTAGCTTTGAACTTTTCCCAAATTCAGCCTGAAATTGTTTGTTGCCTTGATTTCTGTATCTCTATTTAGATACTCATTTAAAGTTAACGGGAGTCAGTGTTTTCCAGAGGGGAGTGCCAGAATACAAGTTTGCCTGGGCAGAACATGTTTTTTAGGAGGCTTTCTTAAATTCTATTATTTGTTAAATTCTGTCTAGCTCCTGTATGTGGACAGAGCTTTGCAATTTAGCAGTAAAAAGATGGGGAAAGCAGCCATGCGGCCTCTAGGAGTGTTTGGCAAAAACTCCGAGTCTCTGGGAAAGAAAAAAAAAAAAAACAAACAAACAACAAAACACTTACTCGGGTTTTCTTGATACTTCTTTGAAGTTGAAGAGAAGACTCTCAAAGTTCAACTTGTACTAAGAGTGCACTTCAGGTGTTGATCCACCTGCTGTTCTAGGAATGCCTTGTCTTTGTGAACATCCGAGTGTGCTTCAAGTGCGAGTGGAAGCTGCTGGGCAAAATGATCTCAAACTGCTCCTGGGAGCGACTGTGGGTGTAGCTGCAGGGACTGAGAGGGGGTCACGGTGCCTCAGAGCTCCCTGTGCCCAGGAGAGCTGAGGAGGTGCACAGTGAGAAAGAAAGATCTTCAGCAGTTAAAGTAGAAAGAGCTGGAAAGAAAAGAAGAGTGGAATTGCTGTGTGGGACACGCTGCAAACATGCAATGCTCTCTGAAGAATTATGTTGTAAAAGAAATGGTTCATTTTACAGGTGGTTTGGCTTTTTGTGGGTTGTTTGATTTTCTTCTTCTTCTTCTTTTTTTTTTTTTTTTATTTGTCCTTAACCTTTCTATGGCTGTGGCTCTGCTGCTCTGAGACCTCTAATGCTTTGGCGGAAACCTGGTAGGATCTGGCATGAGAAATAATCCCATTACAGGTTGGGAAATGATTTACCATTTCCATCTAAGTGTAGATTAAATTTGATCCAAGGGATGGCATGAGGAATCACATTTGCTTTTTTATCTTTTTTTTATTATTATTATTATTCTTTTTTATTCTTATTCTTTTTTATTCTTATTAATTTTTATTCCTTTGGAAAATTGGAGTTCTCTTTACATCAGCTATGCTTTCCCTCATGAAATGTGTCTCCACTTCCTTCACTTAAAATGGATACAACCCAATCATTGCATTGATGTGTGGGATGTTTAAGATAGAAAGTATTAATTATATGGTTCAACTGTCACGGAACTCCCACAGGAAAATTAAGACCTTTGCATAAAGTGAAAGGTTTGTGTGGTCTCGTGTGAACATGACTTTAGATAGATGTCCCAAGGAAACTTGAATAGGTATACAAAATTTGTGAAGATACATGATATACACAGCATAATAATGGCTCATTTACTGACTAAGGCAGAAATCCTGTCTGAGAGGGAGTTGGGGAAAAAAAAAAAAAATATATATATAATGGGAAATGCAACATTTCCTAACTGTTGAATGCTTACATTTCTGATGCTGATGGGCTTCCAGTGTGTGCTGTAGCTTTGGTGTTATTAAAAATATGGATGTTCCTTTTGTGTCCCAATTTCCCCCAAGAATGGCAGTGAGGCACCAAGACACCATTTATAACCTCAGATTCTGTTACCCTGAGCTGGGCATAATAACCAGAGTTGTTAGATCTGATATTATTAGTTGTGTTGTTTATTAATCTGGATTTATGTAATATTCAGGTGAGGGTGCTCACACCATGGTCTTTAGATCCTGTCTGGTGAGATAATCAGTACAACCTGCTCTGTTCTAAGATTAATTAAGGTTGGAAAAAACCTCCAAGATCATCAAGTCCAACCTCTGTGTCAAGTCACATGTGAAGGGATGATTCCATAACCCTTCCTGAAGCAGCCTGGGCACCTGTAGAGTGAAGGGAGCTGCTGCCTTTTGCTCAAATATCAGTATTTTTTTTAACTAAGTGACAAAAAGAAGCTGGGCTATCCAGCCACTCTTCCTCAGGATCTATAAGAAAGGTGGTGTGATCAGGCAGAGCTCAGGAAAAGTTTCTAGTGCTCCACCAGCACGTACAGATTTATGGCTGGAGACTAAAGGAACTCAAAGTATTGAGTATTTTCCTTCCTGAAATAAAAAAATAAGAAAAAAGAACTAGAAATAAACAGGAGAATCCTGCCCCAGATTGTAAGGCTGTGAAGGACAGTGATACTAAATCCACTGGGAGGTGTTGTAAGCAGGAGGAATCATTATCCTGACTTGCCAGCCAGGACAAGCTCATAAAATGTGGACCAAATACCAGAATAGAGGCTGGGCTGCATCTCTCCTGCCTCTGATCAGTCTTAGTCTGTTTATGGTTGAGTTTTATGTTTACTTTAGTTGGTTAAAACCAAGAAAATTAGGAAGGGGGAGAGAACATGTAAATGCAAAATTAGAGTGAACAGGACTTCGTAAGGGCAGAAGGAGGAAAGCAAGGGTGTCTCTCTGCAAAGGGAATGCTGGAAAAGCCCTCTGAAGTGATTATTGTGCAACCTTTGAAGCTTCTTTTTAGGACTATTTGATACTGCTGCTTGAAGCTAAATGACCCATCAGCATCCTCTGCTGACCAAACACAGGCTTTGATGTTTTAGAGTTGGACAAGGGCACCTAAGTGCCTTGAGAGAGTTTGCAGTTGGGAGCAGAGGTTTCCTGGTTTGATTTGGAATTAGTCAAGGTTAAAATAAGAGGGGATGTCTCAGCAGGTCTGTTGTCTCATGTGCTGAGCTTTCAGTGTGCACTGCAGTTACCCCTCTAGAAATGAAAGCTCCAGGTGTAAAGCCACCATGAGGAAACATCACTTTGTGGGGAGGAAAAAATATTTAAGAGAATGTGAATCATAGAATGGTTTGGGTTGGAAATGACCTTAAAGATCATCCAGTTCCAAGACGCCTCTCATGGGCAGGGACACCTTCCACTAGCCCAGGTTTCTCCAAGGTCATCCAGCCTGGCCTTGGACGCTTCCAAGGATGGGGAATCCACAGCTTCTCTGGGCAGCCTGTGCCAGGGCCTCACAACAATTTCTGTGAGCCCTTGTCCACCTTTATTCTCCCTGAAGATTCACAGTAAACTGATGGAAAAGTGTGAACAAATCTGTACCCCAAAGTAAGGTTTTGGGAAATCCCCTTGCACACTCCTTCCTGTCGATGCCTGACAAAAAGAACCTTCTTAACACATGCAGATGGGATGATACATTTAAAGAACTTTTTTTTTTTTTCCCAAAACCTAAAATAAACATATCTGTGTGAGTAACTGAAAATCTGATGGAGAGCCAAGATGACTTCCCGATTATCTGCCAAGGGGGCAGGACAACACAGTGTCTTATTGGGAAAACAAAATTAGTTTGGAAATACACACTTTAAAAGAAGAATTTGTTTGGTTGGTGGTTGAAAAATAAGTAAATGTCTTTTCATATCAAGAGGATGTTACCAAGTCTGGTGGCTACATGATTGGTTGATCTGATCTCAAAGAAAACGTCGAAGTTGACTGTTTTGTTGAAGATACTTTTTTGTGTGTGTATTGGATGAGAAGTTAACTTACACTGTGAGATCATGGAAACACTCTCCTTCTAATCTATCTAAAAATGAAGAAGAGGAATTGAATTATCTGCAAAAGATTTTAAATAGGAATAAATAACATTATGTCCATGGAGGTCAATGGGCAGGCTGGTGGGTTGAAGTAGAAACAGGCATCAAAGTTAAAACTCTGTAGAATCTCTTTTACCACACCTTAAATGGAATGAAATCAGGGTGGTTAATACTGGAAGTACATTTGCCTGCCCTGCAAACAGGCCATGTTATTGCTTGTCTCAGTTTCACTGCACAGCAGAGTGGAGAGAGACCTCTTTATCTTACAGGAGCCAGTTTTCTCCTGGCAGCCAGAAAGCAGATCTGACCCCTCCAAAGACCAAAAACAAACTGAGTAGCCTTACCCAAGTCCAGCCCTCCAGGCAAAGCCTGGATATTTAGTGTGACATGATGATTGAAGCAGAAAGAAAGTAGTGTCAAGAAGGTGTTGTATTTAAGGGGGATTTTCACCGGAAGATAAAAAAACCAGATAATTTCTCCATGTTGCAATGACTGCTTTCAAATAGCCATTTTTTCAATGAAAAAATAGCAACGTTTCCTCATGGATTTACTCTCCATCTTCCCATTGAGCATCCATGTATTTCTTTCTCCGTCTTTCTCTCCTCAGCTACGAGCCAGGAAGATGAAGTGCTGCCTCCTCTCCATCGCCTTGGCTGTTCTGGTGCTCATTGTCATCATCATCGCGGTCTCCGTCAAGCGCTGAGCTGGTGGTGCTTTCCACAGGTAAAAGCCTTTAACTAACTCTTTTCTCCCACTCTGTGAGATGGCTGAGAGACAGTTTAGGGAGCTGATTATGGTAAGAAAAAAAATATGTCTTCACCTGTAGGTTCAGGTCTGGCCTTCTAAAACATTTCTCTCTCTCAGAAGCAGCCTTAGTGGGTCCTGAAAGGTGAACCAAGGTGATATTCAAACAATACATTTTCTCTGCTGTTTGTGCTGGGCTTGATTTTACATGGATCTCATAGCAATTCTGGCTGATGGATCCTAATTCCACATGAATTAGAGAAGCAGTGTTGAAGGCTCCAGATAGAAGCGGGGTCAGGGACAATCCAGCAGCCCAGAGATGTTCCAGAGCACATCTACCTTCTGAGATGTTCCAAAGAGACTCTCTTGAGGAGCAGAAGACAAACCACTGGAGATTTCAGCAGGGATGAAAAATAAAAAGGGATTTTTGGAGATCTTTGCCCTGCATCTAACCGTAAAGGTGTGTTGATCTGTAGTAGAAGGACTGGGCTGTAACCTTGGCAACACAGGTGAGATATCAAAGCAACTTCATCCCACTGGTGAAGTTTAAACTATGACATACTGTCTCTGTAAAGACTGTGCTTTAAATGTAAAGTATAAGACAAAAAGAAAGTTTTTATTTTCCTTTCTTTTGCCTCATTACCCCTGAAAAATGACTCATAAATTATTTCTGATAATCTCCCTTCTGATACAACAAAGCATCTCTGGGTGTCTTCTTCTTTAGAAGGTTTCCAGGCCATTATTCAAGGGGAGATTATGAGATTTGCAGATTTTTCTACCACCCAGAGGGGGTCTGTGTGGCTGATGACGTGGGAAAGGTTCCAACTGGTAAAACCTGAATCCAAAAATATCAGTGGGACTTTTCCTGCAGAGAAAAAGCAGGAACCCTGAGGCAGAAAAGAATAGAGGGTGGGCACAATTTTTAATTTAGGGAACCCTCATGTCCTCAGAGACTTGAATGAAGCACGTGTGACATCACTCCTGTCCTTAATAGATCCTGAATGATACTGAGGCTCACTGGGACCTTTTGCAACAATTTAGGTGGAGATCTGTTAGCCTGAACTAAGGGAAGCACAAAGGATTAATAGATTTTATTAATTATTTGGTTTTTCAAGAGTTCAGTGCTGCTTGGCAGTGCTCTCCTTCCACCTGAGGATGAAGGAATTGCCCTCTTTCTGCTAGAAGATAGAGGGGGTGGTTCAAAACAATCAGAGAAAGATGATTCTTCACACTTTTTAACCTTTGGAACTCCTTCTGGCATGTTGCAGATGCTAAAATTTGGGTACAAGAGGGAATTATACAAATACATGAGAAAAAAAAAATTGTGGAATGATATCTACCACCTCACTGGGTTTGGATGAGGATGATCAAAAGCTCTACATTATTGCAAGGAGAAAAAACTCTAAATATTTTTCTTAGGTGTTTGGCCAGCCCTGAAGTGAGGATATCAGGAAAATGGTCCTTTAATTGACTGAATATCAATGTTCTTACAGCACATCTATCTATCTATCTATCTGTAATTTCTATATATATTTTTATCCCTCTTTTACATGAGACACTGCTTATGAGTGCAAACAGTGATCTGTTCTGATAATTTAAATCTGGAGCAACTATAATAATTTTAATTGCATTACTCTGGTTTTACTCTGCATTAGTTTGGAGATGTGTTACATCATGATAATCTGCAATATAATACAATTTCTTTTAACACAGTTAAATATTCCTATCTACTAGAAATTACAAATCTTATCATCAGTTGGCTACATCTAGACATATTTTAATCTAAACCCCTAAAGTGGAGAAAGTCAGAGAGGCAAAATATTCTTACAATAAAACTCCGTTGGAAAACTAAATTTAATCTTCTGTTAAGAGATCCATTCTTGGGGGAAGTGAACCTAAAGATACTGATGAGAGCCCCAGGAAAAAATATAATCCTCTACTTTTCATCATCACTTTTGAAACTAATTATTAAGCTTCTAAAACAAGAGTTACTTTCCAACAGTACAAATGAAGGCAGAACCTGCATTAATATACACTGGAACAAGTATGATTTCTGATCTTTAGAAATGGTTCCTAACCCAAATGGTGTGCAACAGATTTCATATTTATAGTCTGAAGATTTCCAGAACAGAATATTTTCAGGATTTCCATGTCCACAGTGATGCATGCAATTCTATTCTGAACTTCAATGCAAGTGGGTTTTAAAATGTAAGTGGATTTTAAAATATCAGTGGGTTTAAAGATTCGACTGCCACAAGAAACTGGTTCATATAAAACTGTCTTACATACTACAGGGAGAGAAAGAACAGCTGGATTTTAGTGTGTAGCAGCTCTGCATGACTCTTCAGAGAGGAGAGAGAAGAAAGCAAGTTAGGGAACTAGTTACTGAAACTGTGGTTGGCACAGGACAAATCACCGAATAAAATCCCAAGTTCAGTGATGACTGGCAAGAACTTCCTTTTAACTTACCATAAAGAGTTTGTTCCATGCTGGATAACTCAGGAGCCAAAAAGAAACAGCACCAGCGTCTCCATTCCAGTGGTTTAAGTGCCATTTCCAGGATATTAAAGGTAGGGGCTTCTTTAGCTCTCCTGAGTGGCAGTGAGAATTATGAAGGTCACTATTCACTGAGTCAAAGAAATGATGCCATTAATATCTATGATTATTAACATTGTTTTGATCATTAGCATATAAAGTGTTCTTCCTCTTTTTATTATTATTTTTTTTTATTTGGTTGATGTTTCTACTTTTGCAATAATGATGCTGAATCAACGGTTCATCTCAACGCCACAGCTCAGACACGCCTTGGACAGTCTAGCCCATTCCTTCCAGGGCAAAAATCACTTCATGAATCTTGAGAAGTAAAAAGCAGTTTTTCCCCATGAGTTTTGCAGGCAGTTGTGCCACCCCTGGCTCTGGCTCAGTGCGTGCAGAGGGCCCAGATGTTCAGGAGAGCTCCAAGCCTGTCCAGGCCCCTGCCATAAGTGTGTCACTGCTCCCTTGGGGCAGTTTTGTCTGGCAGGGAGAGGGAAGAGCATCTACAGAGAACACAGAGAAGCTCCTGAGGACTTCTGTCTGTGTGTTTGTTTGCTGACACCTTAGGAAAATAGCCCAGGAGCTCTTGAGTCACGTTGTGCACATCCTGTGGCAGCACTGCAGCTGCTCTTCTTGCTGCCACAGTCAACATCAGCGCCCATGTAAAAGGATGGGATTGCAGCAGCAGTCTGAGAGAAGCCTTTTTGTTAAAAACATCTTTGTACAGTGTCAGTATTTTTCTTCAACCTAGACAGACCTTCTGTGCCCTTCTCTTGACTCATTTGGATGAGTGCACACTTACCCAAAGTGACAATCAAGGCTATTTGAATCCTAAGCCTGGAGTGTTATTTATAGGAAAATAGAGGTGACAAACTTTGAGAAAGATGCTAAATGGATTTGATGTTTGGAAAATGTGCTTTCCAGTGACAGCTTAATCATCTCAATCCTGTTAGCCAAAGAAAGAGAGAAGGAATGATGACTCGACTGCTCCCTGTTCTTGGAAGAAGTCATTGCAACAGAGGGTGCCTTCCTCTTTGCCAAGACACATTTCTGTCAGACAAAGGTTGCTGGACTGAGCACACAGACTTTGCTGTAGAGATTCCTTAAATTCTGTGGACTTACTGTGCTTTCCAGCCTTAGAATCTGTCAATGAATAAAGAGGCAAGAGCCCAGAGGAATAAAGCAGCATTTCCCTTCTTGGGGGGATTATGCAATGGTTGATTGTGTGGCTCAGCTGTTCAAAACAGAACAACAGTCAAGAGTGCAAGTGATCATTAGTGACTGGATGTGGCACTTAGTGCCAGGGTTTAGTTGACATGGTGGTGTTCAGTCAAAGGTTGGACCTGATGATCTTGGAGATCTTTTCCAACCTTTATGATTCCATGATTCATCAAATTCTCCCAACCTTCAGTGACTTAAAGCTCAAAGTCTTCCTGATATAGGAGATAGTTATTAAATCTTTAACAGCCGTTGATTATTACCTTTCCTGATAATTTGACCATTTGCGTTTGAAACATTATAAAGTTTTAAAATGTGAAATATCCTGAGCAAGGAGTTCCACTCTTGATTACACTCACCATGTGATCTTGACTGTACAGATAAAAATCCCTAGAATCATAGAACAATTTGGGTTGGAAGGGACCTTAAAGATCATCTGATTCCAATTCCCTTCTGTGGGCAGGGGCACCTTCCACTCCATCAGGTTGCTCAGGGCCCCATCCAGCCTGGCATTAAACAATTCCAGGAATGGGACATCCACAACTTCTCTGGGCAACCTGTTCCAGTGCCTCACCACCCTCACATAAAGATTATTTTTCTAATATCTAAGCTAACATCTTGGACAGCATCTCTTGAGCAGGGCTATAGTCCTGATGAAAAAGTAATATTCCAGCTTCAAATATGTGTTTCCTGAACATGCAACTGCCTTGCTTTGAATCTAAATTGAATTAATTATCATAGTAAAATAGAAGATATTGGTTTAGTTTGTATTATTTTTCCTTTCCTTCACAGTTAAAGCTTTCCCTGCATAATTCATTTATGGGTTTCTTATGTGATTAAGTGTTTTATGTAACCTGATCAATGGGGATGAAGCTCAGACAGTTTGTTTTATACAGTCCATTTCTGGTGTTTTGTTTTTGTGGTGTTTTTTGTTTTCTTTCAGACCTTATGATTTTTAACTCGCGGTTGGTTGGGATTTTTAGAGTCCCCGTGTCCTGTACCTGATCCCACCAACAAATGCGATCACAGCCTGTGTGTGTGTCAGGGTCAGGAGGGCCGTGGGTGGCAGGGGAGGAAAGATTGACAAGAGGCTTTGTGATACGTGGCATTTACAGGTCTGGTGTTCCTTCCAAGCAGGAGACAAGTCTGGGCACCTTCTCCTGACACACACAACAGAAATTGTGACATTTGCCCAGTGCATCCCTCCCTGGCAGTGTCTGATTGCT